TTCCCCTCCTTCATCGCCGAAGCGCCCCCTTATCCGGGGTTCTTCTAGAAACCCCCCGGTTTATCCCAGCTCTCCCTCCTGGGCCCCCAGAGACCTTCGAGCTCCCCTGCCGGCATCGACGAGTGGGGTGACAAAACACAGGTCGTATTAAGTCCGAATTCCAGACAATAAATGAAATTGTAGTGTAAGCATGTCCCGTGCTCTATGTGAGACATACTTACACTAAAATGTTATTTGCTGCTTATCTGAATGCACCTTTAACTGGGCTGCCCGCATTGTACTGTGGTAAATCTGGCAGCCCTATCCACAAGAGCAGAGGTGTGGTCGCCTGCACCCCTGTCCCCGCTGGGGCATATGGGGGCACACTCAGTCCCTGCCCACACTCTGGAAGGGAGGCAGGGGGTGCCAAACCACTGCTCGGGTGCAGCACGGGCGGGCTTCAGGGCGCAGGTGCGGCCACCCGGGGCGCCTACCTCTGCGCGCGTGCGGCGGAACACGACCCGCAGCCAGTTCCCGATGGTGGTGAGCACCGAGGCGAAGTAGGCTAGGCCGAGCAGGATCCAGAACCACACCAGCGGCTGATAGGCTGCGTGGGTCTGGTTGGGGTTGGCGCCTGGGATACCGCGGGGAGAGCAGAAAGGAGGTGGTGTGGGGCCAGCTTTGAGCTGGGAAGCCACTGCTGCACTGCCCCTCTCCCCAGCTCAGTGAGGGGATCCATCTCTCCCAGGACAGCGGGTTTGTGCGTGTGTAAATGCATGCAACCTGAGCGTGCAGGACCTGCAGGTGTGCAAGAGAAGAGCATGTGAGTGGGAGTCCTCACGTGCAAGAGTGGGAGCATGTGTGGGAGCAGGAGCACCTTCACATACGTGTGAACATGCATGGAGGCGCAGGCATGCACGAATGGAAGTGTGCACGAGGTGTTGCATCCGTGCAGCAATGTGAGGGTGCATCCCAAGCGCGGATATAGGGGGCGGGGTCATCCCGTTTGAGAGCACAAACGCCCCATGTGGAATCTGGAGGGAGAACTAAGCGGGCAGAACCCCTGGGGGGGGAATAACATGGGCGGGAAAGTACAGCACAAGAAAGGCGGCCTCACCGGCCACGTAGTCCCCGAACCCCACCGTGGTGAGCGTCACCACCACGAAGTAGATGGCCTCCAGCTTGCTCCAGCCCTCCATGTAGCAGAACACGAACATGGGGGTGACGACAAAGAGCAGGCAGCCGATCACCAGGAAGAGCAACGCCGATAAGATTCTCACCAGCTCCTTGGGCACGTGCCACTTCTGCAGGGAGGGCAATAGGTCGGACCCAGGAGTCGCCCGAACCTCCACTCTCACACCCCACACCCCTTCCTCCGGGAGCCTGTGGGAGGCTCCTGCCATCTCGGTAGCAAAGGTATCCTGTGCCCAACACAAACGGGTGGAGCAGCTCACCAGGAAGATGGCTTCAATGTGCCCGATGCCGTGGCGCAGGGCAGAGCCCAGCCGGTCCCCGACCCCTGCCAGCAGGATCCCGAACAGTGGGATCCCCACTAGAGCATAGATGATGGAGAAGGTGCGACCGGCATCCGAGCGCAGGGCTGCATTGCCATAGCCTGGGCAGAGGGGCCGAGCAGGAGATCTAGGGGCTGCCTGGCACCTCCCTATCGCCCCCTGCACCTTCCCCCTAGAGAAAGCCCAGCCGCTCCTCACCCCCCTCCACAGGCCCGGTCCCCTCTCCCACCGATGGTGGTGATGATGGTGCCTGAGAAAAAGAAGGCGCCGCTCAGGTCCCAGGCTGAGTAGTTGCTGCGACTGGTTGCGTTGATGTCAGGGTTTGCACCCCCTCCCAGGGCATCAGCCACCTCCTGCAGGACAAGGCAGAGAAGGAGGGGCCTTAGTGCTTCCCTCCTGTCCTAGCCACCCCCTGGCCCTTCCCTTCCTGCCCCTCCCAGCTCTCCCTGTCCCTCCGGCCTCCCCGAAGGCAGTCCCTGTGAACACATATTGCAATTGGGGTGACCCAATGCTCTGACCTCCACATTGTTTTAGAAACATTTATCTGCCCCCTAATCTCACACAACAGATTTTCCATTTTACAGCGGTCAGGAGCACAGGCTCTGGCACCAGACTGTCTAGTTTCAAATCTTGTCGCTGCGTGAACATGGCTGTCTCTGTGCCTTTGTTTCTACATCTACCGACCGGGGATGCTAGCAGCACCTTCCACATCAGCTCCTTGTGAAGAGTTAAAGCACTCACAGCAGAGGAAGCACGTGCCCCCACGAAGTGACCGTGCCTCGTGACTTCCAGCTTCCCCAGACCCCACCGCGCCCACTCCCCTCGGAAGCTGCATCTGAGTCCCTTGCCTTGGAAGCTGTGATGAAAGTTGGGGACCCTCCCTCCAGGCAGGTTCATATACCATCAACATTTTCACCCCATTTTTGTAGACCGGTGGACACACGAACCCCTGCCCACCCGCTGAAGCCCTGCGCTACATCGTACAGTGATGGCAAACAATTTCTGTATGTGACCCGGCACCAGAGTTAAGTTAGGGTTTTTCAAAATGCTGACACGCCGAGCTCAAAAGGTTCGCCATCACTGACATAGTAGGTGCTCAGCAAACACGATTAAATTAATGCAATGGCCCTGCGTCCGTCCCTGTTGCCCGGCAGGGCAGGGTCTGTGTTTTGAGAGTGCCCTCCCCATGTGACAGAGGTCAGAGTACAATGGAGGGGGTGCGATGGGGCCCTTCCCCAAGGCGCACAGAGCCGAGCACAAAGGCAGGGAGTGAGATCACATACCGCATCTCTCTCCTCCTTAGCAAGACGCCTTCCAGTTAACTCCTGCACTGGGGCCCCACATCCCCCACAGCTCCCTGCCGCCTGCAGCACGGAGTCCCGCATCCCAGCCCGTCTTTATGCCGCTTTGCAATCTGGCTCCCACCTCCCCTTCCCAGTCTCCTCTCCGGGGGCTCCCATTTGGGAACCCAAGTTAAGGTGACATTAACCCCAAATTTCTGAGATGATCTCATTTCCTGTCATAATAATTTTTTTTAATAAAGCCAAGAAGTGAAATAGATGATTTAAAGTGATTTAATATTTATTTTGCAACACTTTTCTGGTAAATTCACTACTTAAGGGGAAAAAAAACCCTTTGTCATCCTGTGTGTTCTAATTTTTGTTTCCAATGACTGGGCATCTGCTAAATCTGAGTTCCATAGCCATTTATTCATTTCTTCCCTCATCCCAGCTCCCACGCCTTTGCCCGTGCTGGTCCCCTGCCTGTAGTCCCTTGAACCCAACCACACATCTCTACATTGCACCCATCTCGCCCGCCTCCTCTCGGTTACCAGCTCTTCCCAGAGGCCCCAGCACCTAGCCCAGGGCCCAGCCTGCAACAGGCGGCTAACAAAGACGGAAGTGAGGGAGGTGCCTTTCCCACTGAACTCTGTAGTGATCTGCCCACGGAGCTGTCCCCTGCCCAGATGTGACATCCTCTAGGACACAGCTTGCACCTGTCCCGCCCCAACGTCCATCTCCCGCTCACTGTGGTGTCTAGCACAGCGCCTAGCTCACAGCAGGGCATGATTGCTGCATGGCTAATTGTGGAAAAGAAATAGAGCAGCTGCTGCCCACCCTTCTAGTTTCTGCTCTTCCTTCGCTTCTTTTTTATTCTGGAAAAAAAGTAACTCCATTGTGAGGATAAAATAGGTCAGATTCCCTCCCTCCCTCTGCCCTGTGGTCTGGTCAGGCCTCTCTGAATCTCTCTCTCTCTCTCTCTCTCTCTCAGTATTCTAGATGCATCAGAGACAAGGTCAGGCTGCCTGGGCGGGCTCCACCCTCATCTCTGCTCTGGTCCAGCCACAATGGGAATCCACAGGAGCACAGAGGCCTCCAGGCTGATGGCTCCTCCCTCCCAAAGAACAGACAGGGAGAGAAGTAATCTCTACTAAAGTAATAAACACTCAGTTATCAAAGTTAAATCTTAGATTTTTAATAAGATAGTGACTCAGAAATCAGAGGAAGCCATAGAGGTGTGGCCTGACAGTCCCCCCGAAGATAAGGCCGCACTTTAGTCCCTGGCCGGGTCCCTGGCTGCCTCCCTTCCAGCCTCTACAGCAGCGGTTCTCAACCTTCCTCATGCTTCGACCCTTTAATGCAGTTCCTCATGGTGTGGTGACCCCCAACCATAAAATTACTTTCGTTGCTACTTCATAACTGTCATTTTGCTACTGTTATGAATCGTCATGTAAATATCTGATATGCAGGATGTACTTTCATGGTTACAAACTGAACATAATGAAAGCAAAGTGATTAATCACAAAAACAATATGTAATTATATATGTTTTCCAGTGGTCTCAGGCGACCCCTCTGAAAGGGTCGTTCGACCCCCAAAGGGGTTGCGACTCACAGGTTGAGAAACACTGCTCTACAGCATAAGCACGTGTCCTGGGAAAAGGGGTGTTAACCGCATTCACAGTGCACGCACAGGGGGAGGCGAGCCCGGAGCCTCCAAACCACCTGCCCCTGCACGTAGGGGCGCTTTTCCGGGGGGCGGTGCTCGCAGTGTTCCTGGGTGTATGTGGCTCCAAGGAAGTATAGGGGCCAGTGCGGGGTTGGCCAGATTTAGCAAATACAAATACTGCCAGGGACATAGTCGGATTTAGAAACTATCCCTTGTTTAGCTGGAGTTCACATTTACCTGGCGCCCTGACTTTTATCTGGTAACCCTAAACCAGTGAGCGAGACCTGTGACAATGTAGCCTATCTCATTGCTACAGCCATTTGCTCCTTCCTTCCTCCCTTCCTTCCTTCCTCCCTTCTTTCCTTCCTCCCTTCCTTCCTTCGGCCCCTCCACCGTCCAGGGCACAGTCCAGCGCCAGGCACAGCGAGGAAAGCACGTGCCCTACACGCATCACATTGAAAACAGAGACGTGCTCCCTGCCTCTGCCCGGCACCCCAGTTGCACCCAGCGCTCAGGGGGGCCAGTCTGGAAGCAGCACCCCAGCACACGGCCCCACGGCATGCAGCTAGTGCCAGGGGGTCACGGGTGACCGCTGAGGGGGTTCTCGCCACCCACGCACCTTGATGAGGAGCCCCAGGTCCCCGTCGCTCACACATGGGTGGGTCCGCAGGAACCTCTCTCGGACCTCCCCCAGCTCCCTCTGGGCCTGCTGCTCCAGGGGCTGCTCCAGGGCCCGGAAGACCAGGGCCCCCAACACCAGGTAGAGCAGGACCAGCGCCAGCAGAGCCAGGAGTGTGGTGCTGCGCATGGCGTGCCCAGGGGCCGGGCCAGGTCCACGGCCCGCGTGGGGAGGCCAGGCAGGCGGCTTCCGGAGGGCTGTGGTCACTGCGGGCAGAACCGGGGATCTC